AGATTACTGACAAAACAGGACACAGATGCCGGAGAGGTCTGGGATTTCTCTCCCTCCTCCTCCCTCCTTCACTTTCCCTCGATTTGTCTGTCTATTCTATCAATCTGGCCACTCACATTAATAATGTATGAAGAGCTTTAAATTCACTCTTTCATCAAAATGACAGGAATTGGATGACATGAAATAAATCTATTCTAACCTTTGCCAAGATCCCACAGAGGCTGCAATGTTTATTACACCCCAGAGAAAGCAAGTGCCCAATTAAACACACCACACACTGAGCATTTATTTTGCTATATATAATCAGTGATGGAAGGGGGAAAAAGAAGCTTAACCTGAGGGTGGCGCTAAAGAGAACATCACAGTGTCATAAAAATCAAAAGGGTTCATTCTGTTAAGCCCTCCGGCAGCAGTTTTAATACAGATAACACTTACTGCATATATCTGCTGGCTGATTTATGTCTTCTGAGATGCTGCCATTACACTGGCAGCCTCCAACTGAACACTATCACTGACAATGAAATGAAGAGATATTTGCTGGATCACAATTGGCAATGCCCCCTTCAACAGATTAAATTAGCCCATGCAAATGTGGAGGCCTTGCAGCTGGAAAACACATTTATGTTTTTGTCCAACCTCCACGCTCTGGATGTGAAAGATCTGTGTAACCATTAAACCCAGCTGGCATGACCTACAAGCTAAAAATATAACTTGATATCCATCATTTCTTGGTTTGTAACCTGATTAAAAGCATACAGAACATTTCATGTGAACATGAAATTGTAAAATTTCAGCCGGGGAACTCGCAAAGTATTCAAATCAGCGAATGAGAAATCATTGGCATAACACAGACAGACAGTGGTCTTTAAGGGTCTCTGCTGCTCAAGAGGCAAAAAATGGGCTGTCTAATAAAACTGGACTGAATTTGGTTGAAAAGTATTTAAGATTTTTTTCTGTTATTTCCATTACAATATTTTTAAAGGCTCTAGAGGATCTCTTGGCAAAAGCAGTTGAAAAGTAAAATCCTCTCAGGGTTATTGCATGGATTTTAAGATGTCATTTCTGCTGTGCCACTGCAGCTATGTCCTGCTTACTGGATTCATCCACCAGTAAATGCAGAGAGCATTTTAAGTGATTGAAGCAGAGCAGGTCCAAGTTTTCTAACATTTGCCACCACTGGAGTCATAGCTCTATTGATCTGTTTATCTATAGCTCGAACATTGTTTTTAATGATACATTTACAACTATCACAGATCAAACTCATTAGAAAAACATGATATAAGAAACATTAGTTTTCTACCATCAACTTTCACCAACTTATTTATGTTATTTAAGTTCCCCTTAACTACTTGTCTGCTTAAACAAATTTTAACCTATAACTCTTCTTTACTTGATAAGTCTGTCTTAATTGACAAATTACGAACCTCAGGGTTTAGAGGAAGACGTTTTAAACCCTCTTGTTGAAAAGCCTATTGAGCCAACTACCTGTCCAACCTCCTCTTTCCCTGGGAACATGACTTCCCAAAGATCCTTGAGAAAGCAGTCGCCCACATCATAGCTGAAAGTTACAAATAACTTTCTATTTGCACTGAACGAAGGACCTTCTCTGTATTCGTAAATTATATTTATCAATGAAGCCAAATGAAAATAATCAGTATGAGTTAAGGACATAAAGACAGCAATGACCAGCAATCGTCTGTTCAAACAAAACTGAAGTTATTGTACTTGGCCCCAAACACCACAGAGACAGCTCATATTACCCCAGCACAACACAGCGCTCACAGAATGCAGGTTTAATTGTGGTTCCTTTACAGTCTCCAAAATATCATCTGAGGCATTGGTAGCCTTCAGCTATCAGTTATGTCCTGGAGGCAAATACATCTCTGTGTTTAGGAGTAGCCATAAAACTTTCTTTTTTATAAAGTTTGTACTTCTGGTTGGCTCAAACTTGCCTTGAACCATTCCTGTAGTTGTGCTGCTTTAAGCCTAGACTCCTGCGGGCCTTACCACGATGCACCTTGCTCCACTCTTCTCCTCCCCCTCTTCATCTGTATGCATTCACATCCCATTAACGCATCTTACTAACTTGGCTTCATCTCTCTCCTGTGGTTATTTTTGCTTTCTTATCTCTCTCCGCTTTTGTCCTTTGGCTCTCTGCAGGTCTGTCTGCCCCTGGAGCTGCAGAGTTATTAGTCCTATTAATATTATAGCACATCTCCATGTGACACCTGCATCTCTCTCTCCCAACTGGTTGAGGCAGACAGCCACCCACCAACCAAAAGCCGACTCTGTTCAAGGTCCTTGCCTCTTAAAAGGACATTTTTCCGTTCCACTGTCGCCAAGTGCTGACTCATGCTGGGAATTGTTGGGTCTCTGCAAATAATAACTCATGGTACGGTCTAGACCTGCTCTATATGGAAAGTGATGTTTATTGTGCATAAGTTTCCCTTTTTACTCAAAATAGACTCACTCTACACTTTTTTAACATTCCTAATTTAAAAAGTGCTCAGGTTTAATTGATTAAATATTTCTTGCATGTTAGTTACAAGTGTCACTCAATCAACTAGGTGCACGTGGATAACTTTTGTGTCCACTTGGTGTTATCTCATATCAAATTGCAGATTTTTCCTCATATTTTGAGGACTCGCAACAAAATAGGACCAAATACACACATTTCAATTCAAAGCTCAAAAGAACGAAATAATAAACAGCCACTCAAATAACTCCAGGTCTACTAATGCCTTTTACAGCACTTCATTAAGGTCTATATACTGCACGTGCTTTCCTCACCACCGTTCCTCATTTCTTCTCATCTTCCCTGCTCTGTCATTTCTTTTATGGCGTCCCACCAGGTGGAAAGTTATTACGGCGCTCTCTACTGTGATTTTTCACCATTTTTTTTTACATCATAGTTTAAAATAGAACATCCAGAAAACAGTCTCACTGAAAGCCTGCAGCACTGCTCAAAGTTCCATCACAGACACACACTGTCATCTCTGACCCCCCCCCCCCTTAACGCCTTTTTCTTCTTCAAGACCTGGGAGAGATCGGAAGTAATGGAGTGATGAAAGTTGAGGGGGATGAAAGAAAGAGAGAGAGAGAGAGAGAGAGAGAGAGAGAGAGAGAGAGAGAGAGATGGATTGTGCAGCGTTGAGGTGGTTGGTATGTTTGTCTGAGGCTTGAGTGTCTGCATGTTTGCATTCCAGTGTGTTTGTGTGAACACGCTTGTTCATTGTTCACAAAACAGATCGATGTGTCTCTCAGACTCTTTCCCAGTCAAGTTCAAAAAGACACAATCAGTTAGTACAAACAAGGGCGAGAAAGCAGAAGGGAGGAAGACAGGTCCAGTGGAAAGAAATAAGAGAAATCAAATGAAAAAATGCTTCTGTCCTTTCCTTGACTATCATGCTTCTTTTCCCATCTACAATCACTTACCTCTCTATGCTTCTTATGTTTTTGTGCATACATGCGTTATTTTTGAAGGCCCCATGTGTTGCACTGCACCGTGGTGGCTTATGTAACGTGTAGACACACATTCACACCTTCACACACACCCCTCTGCTGGTCTCATAAATGGTCAATTGAAAAACAGCGCAAGGTGAGTCAACCACTTTGCAGAGACCATGTTATTGCATGCATTATTTTTAGATGGGGGAGGGATATTCACTCGGATGCTGCATCGAGGGACCACACACACACACACACACACACACACACACAGGTAATAATTCATTGGCCACACACACTTCGCTGAATGGCATACCTCAAAACGCAGTTACATAAGACCTTATACACGAAGCAGACGCAACCCCTACTAGAGTTTGTTTACTGTCAACATTCAAATGAGAATATACCTGATCTCAAACCTTCTCTAATCTATACTCTCTCCTCTGATTTCTGAGCTGACACAAATTCAACATCTTAAACTTGCCCATTAAAAAGTGTGTGCGGGCAAAAATGTTTTCATCTTTCCTGGTGCATGACGAATGAGGAAATTAATTTGCAGACACACAATTCCTGCAGTGCACTAAAGACAAAACACTCATAATCAAGCATAATTACAAGCCGGAGTCATATGGCGTTTAATTTCCCTTTTCTTTTCAATTTATCACCTTTTTTGTTTCGTTTGCCTCGAGAAAGAAAGCTGCGATGTTTTTGGCTTTATAAATAGGAGCAAGGAAAGACAGAAAGAGGGAGAGATAGTAGGAAGGCGGGTGGTGGGAGAGCCAAACAGGTAAGATGAGGCAAGGCTGAAAGATGAAGATAAAAGAAGAGAAGAAGAGGATGGCATGGAGGAAAGTAAAGTGGGGCAAAGAAGAGGGAGGACGGTGACAAAATTGCTGGGGAGAGTGAGGTGAGGCCACCAGGGAGAGAAAAGTGAGAATGAGAGAGCAAGAGAGAGAGAGAGGCATTAGTTCACACAGAAAAGCAAAGATATAAATAAAGTATCTGAAAACGTAACTGATAAAAGCAAGTGTGTGTGTGTGTGTGTGTGTGTGTGTGTGTGTGTGTGTGTGTGTGTGTGTGGTCAGGCATGTGTGTGTTAGTTTGTGTCCTGGCGCCACTCCAGTTCTCTGTGCTGCCAAAGTTTCACTACGTCCACCACCATGCAAGGGTCAATGCAGGCACGTGCACACGCAAACATGCACTGATACACACACACAAACACACAAAAATGAGGGCATGGCATGGGATTAGCCACCAATGAAGAGAGAGACGTGGGGAAATAGATAGAGTTCAAGAGGGAGATGGTGGAGGGATTAATAACAGAGTGATGGCATTTGAGATGTAAAAAAGTGCAAGAGAGAAAGAGTGACAATTACAGTGGGTACAGAAATAGAGATAGATCAGGGAAAGGCAGAGAGAGAGAGACAGAGAAAGACAGAGAGAGGGAGAAGGGGAGAGTGAGAGAGAGAGAGAGAGAGAGGGAGAAAGAGAGAGGGGAGGATCACTGGGCTCCGTGAGCATGCGAGGATCAGCAGCAAAAGAAAGAGACGGGGTGAGAGAGAGCGGTGAAGAGGAGGACAGACAGCACCAGTGAGGACTAAAGGACTATCAGGGAGAGAGAGAGACGCAAAGAACAAGGAAGAGGAAAAGAATAAAAATCAAAGAGGAGGATAAGAAAAAGGTAAGTGACTGAGGAGACAATGAAAGACAGTTGATCAAGATTCAGAGATTTGAGAAGAGTGTGTGTACAGTAAGTGTGTGTATGTGTGTATGTGTGTGTATGTATGTATGTATGTATGTATGTGTGTGTGTGTGTGTGTGTGTGTGTGTGTGTGTGTGTGTGTGTGAGACAGCATAAAAAGCCTGCAATGTTTTCCACTTGGTAAATATGCTCAGAGAGATATCTGGGTTCTCAGAGCATCTTTATAAATCTTCTCTGGTCTGAGAGCCCATGGCAGCTACTTTTTTTTTTTAAAGCAGCTCATTCATGATTTAACACTCAGGCCAGCGTTTCATATGGAGGCAAAAGGGGTTTTATAGACGAGGGTGACGGACAGCTAATTGGACAAATGGAGAAACCCCCCAAAGATTAAAGTAACGTGCATCCACTTCTTTACACATTAACTGTAACTGTAACTGTGTAGTTCTATCACGGGAAAGTAGTTCTATCACTGCAGTGTGTGTGTATGTGTGGAGTGCATTATTATTATAATTCTGCTTTTAACCTTGATTCCAAACACTTGTCTATTAATGTATGTGTTTGTGTGTGTGTGTGTGTGTGTGTGTG